AGAAGAACAGTACACAGGGGCACATCAGCAAAGTAAGAAGCTGAGTGAGGCAAAGCCTTGAGAGAGGAGGTGGAATTGTGTTTGTTAAAACATATGGAAGTCAGCTCAGCACAGATCTTGGATCTGTGTGCTGTCTATTGAAGTCATCAGGAAGATTCACATTAAGTTGAGCAGGTTTCATCAGTTCCTGTAGGAGGTAGAAACAAGTGCTGAAGGTGCTAATTAAGGTGCATAATAAGACTTATGATCTCTTATTTAGAAAACAAAACACCCCATCATTTCTCCTCCCATTTCTCTCCAGTCTGAAGAAAACATAACAAAACCAATAATCTCATAACTACCACCACCACCAAAATTAAAAACATACCAAAAATAATAATCTCATAACTACCACCACCACCAAAATTATCAGCAACAGATAATACTCTCATTTGTCTATTGAAGACTGTCAAAGAGTGCAACCACTGAGTATCCTTTGTTGTCATGTCACTTCAAATTCCATCTTCTTTAACATATTACAAAAGCCTTGCTCTTTGCAGGTTGAAATATAAATTGAAGAACAGATAGCCTATGGAAGCTTCCAAGCTTCTTATAAGTTGTCTACACCAGCATTTGATAGGAAAACTCAGACCAGTTATAGGAATCACCCACAAAATCCAAGACAGTGTCATGGTCACTGGGACCAGCCTGCTGCTATTGCAGAGGACTGAAAAAAACCCAAACAAAGCCAGGTGACTTGCAATTTAGTAACTTCTGATTTAATTTTTCCCACAGTCACTATTACAAATGGAGCTGCACAGGAGGAGCTGGGGTAGAAGGATTCCTAAAACTGTTAGTCCACACACAGTTTTGTTTGTACAGTCCCTCTTCTCTCCTGTAATAAAGCTTGCATTGCCTGTCTCCCAAAGGCATTCCCTGAATGACTTAGGTCCTTTCCCACCATTCATATTGTGATCTGAGGTTTCCTCCCTTTAATCTGACAGCAAAGATGAAAGGCTGTTTTAGAAAAGTAACACAGCACAACCAAAACATGGACAGAACCTCTGGGGGAATTAACCTTTCTTCTGAAATCAAAGTGGTGAGGACACATATAGACACTCCAGTTTGACTGAACAAGAGCTAATGAAAAATACAGTTCAGGAACGGACCAAACCAGCTGGGAATAATGGGTAAGGTTTATGCAGAAGTCACAAATAGAAACAATGTGATTTCTGAAATTCAGAAATCAAAACTTTAGCCTTATCATTAAGAACACTGACTTAAGGTTTAAGTCAAGTCAAACAAAAGGGTGAAAGTCCATGACTTGATATAGATGTCTGATAATAATTCAGTTGCATGGCTTTTATTTCAGCAGTGAGAGAGATACAAGAAAGACAAGATTTACTTCTGCCTTCAAGGTACACTTTTCTAAGTGGTTTGGGTTTTGGTTTTTTTGGGTTTTTTGGTTTTTTTTTGAATCTCAGTAACACTGACACAGTGGAAATATGTGAAATATAGTATCAGCTGCATTTTAATGATAATATCATCCAAGTACTGAACAGCTTTATGAACATGACAAAATAAATTACAAAAAGCTCTAATTCTGGACCTGGGGTAACTTCAATTTCACTTTGCCATACTAGGGAAGAAATGGTGCACTTTTCACTTGGTCTTTAAAAGGCAGCAATCCTTCTTGCAAAATAAAACTAAAAGTGGCTAACTACCCTGCAGTCTTAGAAATCTTTTCACACAGTCTTCTTGGGACTAGAACCTACAGTGTAATCTCTACTACAGTGTAAACACCACACCTTTTCTAAACTGTTGGCTAAGACTAAAAACCTCCTCTGTAGGATCTGCAAGACATGTTCAGGTATAAGGTCTGCACTGAAGCTGGTCCAAAGTGGGTCTTGCCCTAGCTTGTTGGTTACTGAGCAACTGCACATGCCAAAAGGGAAGTGTGGTATTGCTCCACTCAGTCTAAAGGACTGTTAGGAACCAAGCAAGGGTTCAGTATGTTATGAAAGAATAAATAAGAAAAGCTAAACTATTAGAATAAATGTCTTTCACAAAGGATTTCTGATGCTGAAAGGTATAATTGCTTATAATATATTCTAAACATACAGAGGACTTTCAGCACATAAAACCCCAAAGCAGCATTCCCAGAAATTGTCATTGTAAAGTCTGCTGCAAAGACTTCTCCAGGGCAAACCTCTGTACTAGCCTGAATCTCCCTGACTTCAAGCCCAGTCCTGCAGCCTTTATTTATGTGGACAATTCCATTTGCAGTACTCATGACTGCACAGATAAACGGCTCATGACAGAGCAAGCCTCAACTCAAACAAGTCAGTTCAAGTAATATTAGGAATAGAAAAAGACTAATACACGTAATTTAAATACTTCTGGCTCCATAATATCATGCTGTAAGTTGAGGGGAAGTTGGCAGAGAACTCACTGAAGAGCCCTATTTCCTACCTAATTAAGGACAATGACAGATAAGGGAGCCAGGCACATCCTTTTCATATTAAAGTTATTATATATTTTTAATACTTAATCTGTCTGACTCTTTTTGCTAGATTTCTTATAAAGCATATTTTAATGACATTCTATTTCTTCTCATGGTAGTGCCTTAGTCTGTGATAGTAAGAGACACAATCATTCTTTGTTTCTTACTTTTAGTACAGATCAGTAGTTACTAAATACTGGTTAATACTGGTTAAATTCCATAGTCCATATTAATCAGGAAGTCATACTAGGTGAGTATCAAATGGGTGTTACCTTTCATCTATTCATATTTGGAAAAATTCTCAGTAAGAGTTACCTCCTGTGATTATGTAGTGTATAGTTTTTTTAAGAGCTTTTTTTTTTTGTACTAGAAGTTTTAAAAGCAAGCTTTGAAAAAAACATTTTATCTTTTTTTTTGGTTGGTTGGTTGGTTGGTTTTCTTAGTATCTTCAGAGTTTTCTCAAAGTAAATTCTTTCTTTTTCTCAGTTATAATTTTAGATCTCTAATCCTATGTCTTGCCTAAAATTGCCTACCCTTTAGTCATTACAGAGCATATAATGGTATTTAAAGTATTTAAAATGTTTTATGGAATTTTGTGACAAGCAATAGTTTCCTGATTTAAAAAATATATTCCATGAAAACAGGATTTTTTCTCTCACCTGAACTCTCTGCCCATAGTTCTCTCACCTGTGAGCAAAGAATAAAAATTGCCTACATTAAAAGGGATCTTTAGGAAAATGCTACAGATGTATTAATTCAATTACAGGGAGCACACTTCCCTAAAATGCCTAGCTTGATCTTTATTTCCCCAGATTTTTGCTACAAACTAACAGATAATAGAAGTTACAGGTAACTGATAGCCCTCCTAAGCATCGCCATCTGAAAAGTGTCTAATTGTTGCTGGAAGATCTGTTCAAATGCAGGTTATTCCTCTGCCAGAGGTAAATACTAATCAAAAGGCAACAGCCCTTATCATCTTGTCCATTTTGCAGGCTGAAATGCTTCACCCCTTAAGAATGCATTCCTTTTATTGGAATGATGGGTGTGCTCTGGGCTCTGACTTGGTGGAGTTCACTCTCTGCTTAAGCCACAGACACCTTCCATTAATTTTTTTTCCTTTTCAGAGCTGATCTCCTCCTTTCTATTCTTAATGTGAAATTTGAGCATTTCAAAACCACACACTTTTGTGGAGAACACTGGAAGCAATTATCTAGGAATACATTGTGGTTTGGAAAAGTATTAATTTCCATGATTTGTAGGAAACACCAAAGGAATTAGTAACAAGATCATCAGTATAGTGTCAAAACATCTTCCAAAATCAGGAAGGCACCTCCCAGACAAGAGGGTGATTAAACACAGACTCTCCCTGCCTTATTAAGGTAACCTTTTGATGGGAACTCTAAGATCTAGCCTGAAGTCTGCCAAAGGCTTCCCTTGATTCTCAGCTCCCTTGTCTGCAGCTGCAGGGCCAAGACATTTGTACTGTATTTGCCTCATAGAGAGGTTGGAGTGCCAAATTCAGGAATATCTCTAAATCTCTTGGAAAGCAGTAGTGAGAAAAAGGTGTAAGTGCAATGCATCATCTGCTCCCTGAGAACCTCTCCAGTATTAGAGAGCTTTGAAGCTGTCCAGGAGAGTCAGACGTGTTACACAAAGGAGGCACTTTAGAGAAAGCCTGGATGTTTATGTAACACTATCAAAGAAGAGCTTGCTGTTCTCCGAACGATCTGTCAATTCTCCTGAGATGCCTGAATGAAAAGCAAGGTTTAGAACTCACTTGAAAAATATCTGTATTTTAGCTTTGCTCCTGTGGAGGGAAGCCGTGACTCACAGGTGACAGGTAAAGTGTAAGATGAGCCTATGAGAAGAGTCAGGGAAAAAAAATGAGAAGAGAGAGAAGGGAAGGGAAGGGAAGGGAAGGGAAGGAAAGGAAAGGAAAGGTAGGCTATCATCTTGATGGACCTGCTCTATAACATTCTTCGTGGTTTGGGGGCTGGATATTACAGGAGATCCCCTCTTCCCCTGAAATCAGGCCATATTCAAAAATGCTATAGTGATGTTACATGCATGCTTTGGGAAAATATAAAGATCAAACTGATGTGCACGGCAATGTGACTGGAGGGAATGGACAGGTGCTCAAATGGACAAAATGGCCAAAATAAAATAAATTTTACTTTTTTTTTCACCCTTTTGCCAAGATTCATAAATTTGAAAAAAACATATTATCTAAAATTATTTTCTTCACAAGCAAAAAATATATATATATATATGTTACAGAACATCAACTCAATATGCATTTCTGAAACTCCTCTGACTCCTTTAATTCCTCAACACTGTAAACGTATCCTGATTTGTTTGTATGTAACGTGAGATCAGTGCTTAAAAATAAACCAAATAGGAATCTCAGAGTGTGTGTGTATGTGGGTGTGGGTGTGTGGGTGCAGGTGTACAACAGACATAGCAATCTCTGCTGGGGCTGAAAACATGACACTAAAGGAAGACTGTCCATTATATTTATTTGGTTTTAATCCAATGGCTAGAGCATGAGGTGCAGAAAGTTAAGCAAAGGTGATGAATCCATAAAAAAAATTAAATAAACTCAACACTAACTGTCACTGAAGCATCTAGACACAGTCCTGTGTTCCTTTCAAAATGGAATGGCCACCACTCTTTTCCAAAGGTAAGCACTATCTAGCTATCCCCATTGTAAGCACATCCAGTCAGATCCCAAACCTAAAGAATCAGTTCAACCATGGGCCCTTCAATATTTGCCATCCTTCTCTCAGGACATAAGATTTTGTGTCAAAAGAAAGATTTCAGCTTTACTGCTGCATTTTCCCTTCAGCACCAAAGAATTAAAAATTTTTAATATTTGGTTTTATATAGTTCATTACGGCTTCTCAATTTAGGCACCTGCATCAAATTAATTAAGGCAGAATGTAATGGTTCCTTCGATTCAGTGTTGTACAACACTAAGCACCAAGCTGTAGAGTAAAAAGAAAAGTTGCAATGTTCACAGAAGTTTGCTTTTAGTAGGTAGGTAAAGCAGGGACTGCAGGAGATGGCACAAAGAAAAAACAATTCTATTAGGTAGAATAAAGTCCCAAAGTTTATTTTGCTTACAAACCCAAAAATCAAGTGACTTCTAGTTACCAAAGGAGTCAGGAACAGAATGGGCAACAATGGGAGTTTTTATAGATTTTAAAACAGTATGAGTCAAATGTTTAAAAATCAGCATTTTAGCCGCTGGAAAGTTGCATACATGGCAGTAGGTCCTAGGAAATTTTCCCATCCATGAATTTAGTAGCAAAAACAAGCTCCTGGTGCACACAAAGGTTTGAGAATATGAAAGCTCACAGCCCATGGTTCAGAGGAAGTGTTACTGTGACAAAGTATTAATTATGTATGAATACAGCATTGGTGGCATTGCATGCATTTTGACACACAGCAGTCCCCCAAAGGAAGTGTTATCTAATTGGTTCTATCAAAGGCAGGCATCTCCTTGGCATCTAGAAAGGCATATATAATCCAGGGGTCTCCTTCTCTGAGTAAATTTCCTTCCTGACCTCCCAGCTGGGCTCCTGCTCAGGGCCATGCAGTTTGTATTGCAGAACAGCCAAGAGGATTTCTGGTTCTTCCAAAGGCACTTGCTGTCTGGCCAGGCAGTAGAGAAGTCTGAAAAATACCAACTGTGCACTTCCATATAATTTTCAGTAGCAAAAAATGGCCCTATAACAACTTCTGCAGGATATCACCAAACAGAAGAAAAAACCCTCTACAGGCAACTGCTATACAGAAATAGTGTAGTAACAAGGAAACACATGATGAAAAAACATGAGGAATTATCACTAAATTATTAAAATATAGAAGTAAGCAGATCACACTTTACTGGCACTGTTCAATTAACCTTTACAAATAGCTGCAATTAATACATTTGTTTTGTTTATATAAATGTTGACATGAGACAGATTAACACATTGGCTGAATTAGAGGGCTAAACTGCTCCAATTTAATGCAAGTTTTTGGTAAATCACTGGTGCTGTAACACATGCAGTTATTAAATGCCCTGAAGTCAGACCAAAAGCCAGATAAAAAATTTACTGATAGATTGCCTGTGAATTGCAAATTACATTAGTTAATATTAATGATTTCAATTACTAAAAGAAATTACCCCCAAAGTTTTATGCCATTTTAATCTACTCATCTCTACCTCAGATAGCATTTACATTTATATCAAACTTCATTTTAATGTGGAACTACCTAAGTAATCATTTTAGCAGCATGTAAATGCCTAAAAATGCAGCAGTGACTTCTAGTGGGGGTGTTAAATCCTTCTCAAAATAAGTCATGTATAGCATAATTTCCACTATGCAATAAGGCAAAAGGACTTGTGTCCACAGTAAAACTGTGAGAATATAAACGAGAATATAATATCACTGTGAATAAAACAAGAGAATATAAACTGATCTAAATCTCCTGTGTGTTCACAATTAACAAAATCTCATTTGGAAGCTACAAAAAAAAAAAAAAAAGGCTTACCTCTCACTCTCTCACTAACATTTCAATTTGCAGTTGAATCCTGGGGTTTGGAAGTGCAAAAGCACCATATTAATGATAAAACAGGGGCAGGTAGTGCTGAAAACCTCCCACATGTAGCTGTGTTAGCAGCAGAGCCAACTCAAACTTACATATGCAGGAGTATTTGTGGTCTAAACGTGAATACTTCAAGAGGCTTTTCAGTAAAGCCGCCCACGGTGTGTAACCACACACCAGATTATCTCCAGGTAAAAACACAGACTTGGGCATTTTAGAGTAAGACAAAGTCCTCCAGTACAACCTTAATAAAGGTGGAAAGAAACTAGGAGAAAAAAGAGTGCCCCTAGAAATGCATTTTCCTGGAAAAAATAGACTTTGAACATGATTTCACTTCTCATAACTCACTCATCAGTGGTAGCTCCTCCATCACAATGATTTTAGCTGGATTTATGCAACCTTGGATGGTGGCTTCCAATTCTCCTATCATTCTGTCAAGGCAATCTCTTCCTCGTGCACAATTCCTGGAAACAGTTCTGTCAGAAGTGTATCTATACTTAATTAAGAATAGTGATAACTATGTGCTGGGGAATGTAAATAAATAATTCATTACTTTCACACGTGCTGGTCTTCAATTACGTGTCAAAAAGAACCAAAAACACTTGGTTGTCAAGGCATGGGATAGTTTTAAAATGCTAAGTGATTTGTTTGGTTGATTTGTTGTTGGCTACAGGCAGCAACAGCCAGGTCCTCTCCCACAGGCAGGCAAGAGACCTGATACAAGTTTTGCAGGAAGCACGGCGTGTTGGTCAGAGGCTGATTTCACTCAAAGCCCCAAAACTGCATCCTCCCTCCACTCCTACAGACTCCAGAACTCCTCATGCTTTATGGCCAGAAGCAGCTTGAGCCTGCAGCAGTAAGCATCTAAGCTCACTCAGCTAGAGCTATATACCTTCACTGAATGATCACCGCTGTCTAAAACGACGAGGGAATTGTTTGCCGTGTAAGTCAGTCCGACAGGATAACAAAGCCCGTGGCTAATTAGAGGATTAAAGACGGGAAATTCCTCAGGTTTCCCTAAGCATATGACAGCCTGGCTACAAACATCTGTTACTATAACACGACCTTCTTTGTCAAAGGCCACAGCCGTAGCATATATTCTGGAGGGGAAAACGAGGTTCAGGCCGAAGCTGTCCACCTGGCCGATGAGATCCATCTCCGCACTGAATATCGTCACTCGGGTGCTGCCCCTGCTCGCACCTCGAGCTTTCAGGTGCTCTACTACCACGACAGCACCCGAGGTCTGGCAGACTGCAACCGCCCTGGGGCTGACGAGCCGGGACCGGATCATCTGGCACTTCCTCAATTCCCCCCTTTGGAAGTCGGCCGCCAAGCGGTAGAGCGCGCCGGCCTCCGAGTCGGTCAGGATTACTTCGCTCCCGGGGGTGGCATCCAAGCCCCAGGGCAAACAGAAGCTTTCCCGGACCGCCAGCACCCCCCTTCCCTCAGAATCGAAGGCCTTCACGGAGCAGTCCCCGCCGTCGGTGACCACCACGTGCCCGTCCGACGTGACGGTCACATCGAGCGGATACTTGATGTCGTTGCTCGCGTCCCCCCGCTCCCCGAACCGCCGCAGGCAGAACCCGCTCGGCCCGAAGACGTGGATCCTCTTCTTGCCGTCGTGTGCCACTGCCAGGCCGCCCGACCCGGGGCAGGCCGCCACCCCGGTGGGGTTCACCAGCGACCCCCAGCCCCCCAGGCACAGCCGCAGCCCGAGCCCCGCGGGCGCCGCCGCCGCCGCCCCTCCGCCGCTCCTGCCCAGGGCCGAGGCGAGGCCGCCGCCGGCGGGGCCCAGGAGCTCCAGCAGCTGCAGCAGCGGGCGGCAGTCGCTGGTCTCGGCCGGGCCGCAGAGCCGCCGGCAGAAGGGACACTCCAGCCTCTGGCGCTCGGCGCCGGCCAGGGCCCCCACGCAGCCCCGGCAGAGGACGTGCCCGCAGGGCAGGTTGAGCGGCCGCCGCTGCCCGTCGGGGCCGTACGGCTCGAAGCACACCCGGCACTCCAGCAGGCTCAGCTCCGCCTCGTCCTCCGCCGCCATCCCCGCCTGAGGGGAGCGACCGGAGCCCCCGGGCCCAGCGGGGCGGGCGCTGAGCGCGGCCGAGGCGGGCGCGCGCCCCCTGCGGGCCAGCGGGGGCGGAGCCGCGCCCGGGCCGCCCTTCCCGCCGGGAGCGCGGCCGTGCCTGCGCCCGCCGCTGCGCCCGCACCTCCCCCGTGCGCACACATCCACCAGCACATCCCAATATCCACCAGAATATTCAACCACCCGCCAGAATATTCACATACCCGCCAGATTCTTACAGACATCCAGACATCAAGTTACCGTACCGCTACTAGCTCTCTTTATGCCCCTACCAGAGTAAGGAATTGAGCCACAATTTTACAGAATTGTGGAATCACTGGATGGTTTTGATTAGAAGGGACCTTGATGATTATCTAGTTCCAATCCTTCTCCCATGGGCAGGGATGACCAGGATAGATCAGGTTTTTCAAAGCTTCATCCAGCCCTTGAACACTTCCAGAGATGGGGGCATCCACAGCTTCTCTGGGCAACATGTTCCATTCTCCTCACACTTGCACTAAAGAATTTCTTAATATATCACCTAAACATACTATCTGCCAGACTTCCCCTTGCCCTGTCACTACATGCCCTTGTACAAAGTCTCTTTCCAGTTCTCCTGCAGGCCCCTCAGGTACAGGAAGGCTGCTCTAAGGTCTCCTCAGAGCCTTTTCCAGGCTGAACAATGCCAACTCTCTCAACCTGCGTGGAGATGTACTGTGGAGATGTACTCCATCCCTGTGAACACCTTGGTTTCATTGGATTTTCCCACTGTTCTGGCAAAATTTAGAAAATATTTACATTCATCAGTAGTAGACACATTTCTCAGACAGGCACATACACACATTTCTGTCAGGTGCATGGACAGCATGTGCTCCTTCTGCTAGGTGTATTTACAGGGTATTCTCAGAGTAGTTACAGGGTACACACAGATCTTACACATCCTAAAATGGCTATTTTGGCACACGGCATTGCTCTTCCCAGGCTATTGCATGCCTGGGAGTTCTGTGCAGGACACCACAGAGCATGTGGCAGCCTCGTGCCAAGCGCCTGGCCTTTTGCAGCTCTTACATATCTCAATGTCTGAGATAAACTTTGGCAGCTCTCATGTTGCATCCGGAAAAAAAACTTGAAAGGAAGGAGATGCTTTAACCTGGTAGCTGCAGTACTGGCCAGGAGTGAAAACAAAAAAAACCCCAGCAGCTCCCAGCTTGCACTGGCCCACTGGCTACATTCATTCTTCTCTGTGTCAACCCAGCTTTGAAACACGAGTATCTATGAGCAATACTGAGTGTTCCAATGAGCTGTGGGTGTGGGGACTGCTGTGCTAAAACCAGCAGACCCATTTGCAACTCTAGGGCTATGCACTCTAAAATGTCCCGTGGCTTTTACTTGCCTTCTATTCTTGATGACTTATGATATATTACATTGCAATCATTCCTTTCCTTTCCAAATAAGCTGCAAAGGGGAGAAGTCACTGTGCTCTGTCAACTTCAAAGTAGAGAAGATTTTCCTCACATTCAGATGGAACTTTCTGTGTTTCAGTTGTGCCTTTTGCCCCTTTTCCCATCCCTGGGCACCACTGAAAAGTCCTGTCCCATCCTCTTGTCAACTGCCCTTAAAGATATTTGTAACATTGATGGTCCCTTCTCAGCTGCCTCCTCCCCAGGACAAACAATGGCTCTCAGCCTTTCCTCATAAGCAAGATGCTCCAGTTCCCCAGCCATCTTTATGGTCCTCTGCTGGACCTGCTCCATGCTGAGGTCTCTCTTGTCCTGAGGAGCCCAGAACTGGACACAGTACTCCAGATGTGGCCTCGCCAGGGCTGAGTAGAAGGGCAGGATCACCTCCCTCGACCTGTTGACCACACTCTTCCTAAGGCACCCCAGGATATCACTGGCCTTCTTGGCCACAAGGGCTATCTTCTTGACCACCAGGACTCCCAGGTCCTTCTCTAAAGAGTTGCTCTCCAGCAGGTCAGCCCCCAGCCTGTGCTGGTACCCTGGGTTTTTCTTCCCCAGGTGCAGGACCCTGCACTTGCATTCTCTGAACTTCACAAGGTTCCTCTCTGCCCGGCTCCTGTGCCTGTCCAGGTGCTGCAGCATGGCCACAGAGCACTGTGGTGTGTCAGCCACTCCCCCTAGTTTTGTATCATGATCAAACTCACTGCAGGTACACTCTGTCCTTTCATTCAGGTGACTGATTAATAAGGTGAACAAGACTGAACCCAGTAGTGACCCCTGGGAACACTGCTTGCTAAAGCCCTCCAACTAGCCTGATCAAAACACTGAGCTCCACCACTCAGCCGGTTCTCAATCTACCTCATCGTCCACTAACCCAGCCCATTTCCCTTGGTGAATCCATGTTGACTACTCCTGATAACCTCCTTTTCCTCCACTTGCCTAGAGATGACATCCAGGATGGGTTGTTCCAAGGATGAAGGTGAAATTGACTGGCCTATAGTTTCCTAGGTCCTCCTTCTTGCACTTTTTCAAGCCTGGAGCGACATTGGTTTTCCTCCAAAAAAGGAAAAGGGGTGGTCCTCAGGCACCCCTCCCATACTCCGTGACCTTTCAGATACGATGGAGAATGGCTTAGCAATAACATGGGCTGCTCTCTCAGCACTCTTTGGGCCATCTTACCCAAGTAGTGTTAGTTTGATTGCCCACAGCTGCACTTTCAAATTAGGGAGCAACACACTTGTGACTGCCAGGACATTTTCTACCCATTCCTCCCTGTCATCCAGTCTACTTCCCTCCACCCTTGCTTGCTGGCTGGTAATTTCCTCTTGGCAGCTGCTGCCTTGCCTTGCCCACTCACTGACAGCTCTTCACTGGACATATATTCACAGGGATGGAGAGAACCAACTTGCAGCAGCTTCCCACCTCTCTGCCCAGCCTGCTGCGAGGCCAGTGCCCCATAAAACAGTGTTTGAACCGCAGTGGCCACACTCCCAGGGCTGCATAGAGTTTAAGAAAAGCTGTTCACATCTCAAGATAGTAAAGGCAGATGTGTAGGAGAGCTGACTTGGTAAGCAAAATGGACAAAACCCCTGCTTTAAGAATGCCCCATTTTAAAATGTGAGATATAAGAAAAAGCAAGGTGGGAGGCAAGTTATTTTAATAAATTTTAATCAAGCCACAAACTTTAGTAGATATAGCACGTCCAGAAAATAATCTAGTCCCCATTGTCTGTGCCTCTCTGAGAAATCATCAACTTTTTCAAGACACTTAATTTCACAGCAGTTGCCTGAAAAGGAGGTAAGAATAACAAATTAGTGAATGATTAGTCAAGGAAAAATGCAAACTGTCCAGAAAAAAAATAATCTTTTTCACAGATTCCCCACAGTGCCTAACACAGTGAGATAAATGCACTGGGGGAAACGTAATTGCTCTCTTTTGCACTGGGGTGCAACTCTCTATGCCAATGACTCACTGCACAAAAACACTGCCAGTCTCAGAAAGTTGTAAATTTAAAAGTGAGATATTACAGCACACCAGGAAGAACTCCTAAAATTAAATTTTGGACATAGCTCCAAATTTGATGGATTGGAGTTGTACATTTCTAGCATTTTATTTGAGTGCAATGTTGCTTTTGTTCTTTGCGAAGAACTCCTAAAATTAAATTTTTGACATAGCTCCAAATTTCATTATTTTGATGGATTGGAATTGTACATTTCTAGCATTTTATTTGAGTGCAATGTTGCTTTTGTTCTTTGTCACAAAAGTACAGTAGAAACTGTAGCACTGGTAGGACTTGTATTAAAACCAGGGCAACTGCTTGATGAGGTGCAGGCAAAGACAAAATGGCCAAACAGGACTCTAAGACTGCAGGTGGGTGCAGTATGAATCCTAGGAGAATAAAAAGATACCAAAGGGAGACAAGAAACTGTCTCTTGGGTTTCCTTAATATCTTTTGAAGAACTGAGAATTTTCCATGACAGCAAAATCCCTGTTGCTAAATGGTATTTATTTTTCCCAGTATTTTTCCATGGCTCTAGCCTTTAGATAAGAAGCAAATGACCGTATCACTCATCACAGGGCAAGGTAAAGGCATATAAACATCTTTATGTGTTTTTGAAAAGATTCCTAAGGGTTAGGTGAAATTTTACTCACCAAACAGACTTTTAATTTCAGATTCAGGAACATAAAATGGTGGGCCTGAAAGAAAAGGGGTGAAGCTAATCAGAGAGGAGATATGGGAAGAAGACAAAATTTACACTTCAGTAGGAGAGCCACCCCCTTCACTCACAGCACCTGGCCTGTAATGGGGCCCTAGGGTGTAGCAGCATCAGAAGGAACCAGAAGACATGTCCAGGAACTCATGGCACCTTGGTGGGCCAGACAGCTTCAGGTGTTGCTGCTGCTTCATCGGCAGCTGCAGCAGGGAATCATGAATGTGACGTGGATATGACCACTCTCAGTGTGCTGTGTGAATCCAGTCTACAATCTCTTTATACTACAGTGGCATGATTAAGGCTAAGAGCTGAACACTGTCAGAGGGAAAGCAATGAATTAAACTGTTGTTACTTGTGATAGCAAGACCTATTTTTTGGGGGGGATAATTATGCTGAAGGGCCCAAAAGCAGAAAAAGATTCCTTTCTTTTGTGAGTTAATATCAACTAAAAAATCTCCCATTTCAGTACATAATACAGAAACTATAAAAGGAAAAGTACCTTATTTTTAATTAATTTTGCAGAATTTCACCTCTTTCAAGTACATTCAGAGCGTGGTAGTGGCTGAGAGAGAGGCACAGGATGGGCAACACATTGGGTTGCAAATCCTGGATAAACAGCATGAAGCTGATGTTCTTGGGAGTGTTTCAAGCTCCTAAGGCCAGACAGGATGTTACTAAGTGCTCTGACTTCCAGCTCCATTGTAGCAGCCACACTTACAGTTTCATTTCATTGTTAATATACCATGAGTGTCCTCAACTTACCTTTAGCATGTCTCAATGCTAGAGAAAAACAAATTTAGTCCCAAGTTTGGTCATTACCTAAACTTTTTAACACACAGTTATACTGGGGTCTCCAGCTAA